AGTGAAAACTTTTGAGGACCCCCAAGATAGCTCTCACGGACCCCTGGGGGTCCTGGGACCCCAGTTTGAGAACCTCTGCTTTAAACCTCTTAAATCAAATGCAAAACTTTTTAAAAGTCGTCCATTAAAAGCAGTTTTTGTACATTTGTGCTCGACTGTTCCAAACTATTTGTGGGTTTATTTGAGCCAGACTTACTGTATGGGTAAGAATTTCAGTTTGGTTAATAATCGCTTGCGGCCAAAAGCTAAAGGGCAATAATGTTTTTACACATCGGTGTGAAAGATTTTCTTCATGTTCTTCATTTTTTTTGAGTGAAAAACTAATGTCTCCTTGAGACCATTTTCTTACCTCATGTTGTGTGACTGAAGCAGCTGGCAACTTGGGATAATAAATTCTTATTTTAAGTAAAACTCAGTCAAATTTACAGACACTAAGCTACAAACTGTTGTGGTGTTAACCGAGTCATCTTCAATGTATAATCTAATACATTTTTACAAGCTGTCATTATACAACAATGTAATTTACAAGGTTTGATCAAAACTGCTATAATCCTAACCCATGTCAGCATAAAATGACTGGCACTTCCTTTAATTTAATAATAATAGTTTTAAAGGACGGCTTTTTTAATAGTTGAATTTAGTCTTTAAACTGAGGGGCATGGGGATCTGTTYATACAAAAAAAAAAATTACTTATATCTTCTCTCCAGGACGCTAGGCGAGCCACAGAGTTGGAGGCGGTCATGGAGAAACAGAAAATGAAGGTGGATCTGAAGCAGGAGAGCAGCACATTGTGAGCTGCGACACCATGTAGAGCTACAGATGTGTTTTTTCTGCTACAAGCTGTCACCCAGATCAGACTGTTGTTTGTATTTATCAGAAAACAAGCGTGAGAGAGATGGTGCATATTTTATGAACAGAAACAAGTCATGGTAGTTATTTATGATGTAATCGATTTAAGGGTTGAGAAACTAGTAAGATATGTTTGTAATGCAAGCAGGTGCTTTGCAAAAAATAAACATTTAAACACTAAAACACTCCTCATATTATTCATCTTTACTTGGTTAAAAAAATTTCAATTGCTGCCAAAAGTTGAAGGTGGGGATAATGTTTTTGCTCATATGTCTGATAATAAAATAGCTGCTGAACCGCTGGAGAAATTTTAATGAAACTTTCAAAAATAAATTATATATTCAGAGTTAACTCAATTCAAGATGGCAACCTTAACTAATAAACCTTAACCTGAGGTGGCAGGCAATATGCATTCCTTCAAAAAAGGCTAATTTTACTCAAATGTATTTCCTAAAAAAAGGGTCAACAGACACTATTAGGTCATTTTTTAATATAACATTAAGGAAAGAAAATCCAGCAGAACAGAAAAATGACTTAACACAGCGAGGAAAAGCAGTGGTTTCAATAAAATTTGTATTGATTTTGTTACAATACTTGGTTACATTAATGCATTTATGTTGGGCCAAATTCTTTTTTCACKTTTAGGACTGAGATTCTAACGCATCACTGCTTCACATGTCAACACTAAGTCAAGATACCATTGAACTTCATTATGACAAATAAAACAAATAAAATCAAGACTCAAACCAACTAACAGAACAGGAAACCACCAATACAGTTCAAATCAAACCAAACCGGCTCAACTCACAACTTTCACTTTGTCAAAACATAAAAATATAATTTTGATTTGTTTAAATCAGGAGATGGATGTCAAATACTGGTACTGAAAACTCTTTTGGTTTGAATTTTAAACTTCTTAATGGGCTTCTGAGAACTACTGTAGACTTATGTGGACATACACTTAAAAAAACATATCGTRACAATGCAAAGAAAGCTAAAGGGCAAATATGACTCCTAGATAGAGCAAAACCAGAATAGCTGTAAGCCAAAAACATATTTACAGTTTCTTTCTTTAAACAACAATCAATTCTTATTAAAAGACAGTGGATGGTTTACATTTTATGTCCCAGTCCAGGAGATCAGTTTGTTTTTGACTCATTTATAACAAGACATGGATGGGATGGTTTATATTACAGCTCGGTTATGGAGGTGGTCTGGAGTAACAGAACAAAGACACGAGGAAGGTGAGAAAAGAGAGGGCGGAACAACTACTATTAACTTCAGGTTATTAAAAATGAATAGGTCAAAAACAGGAGGAGGCCATGTGTCGTAGTGGATAGAAATTGAGCTTTAGAAGTCCCCTGTGTCCCTGTCGTCTGCTCGGCGGGACTCTGACCTGCCGTTCATGCCGTCCCTCCTGTCTCGGTCCCGGGACCGGTCTCGAGAGGAGCGTTCCCGATCCCTGGATGACCTGTGGGACAAAACTCTTGTTGAAAACTTCAGGACTTAACCAGGCTACATTGTGTTCAGGTAACATTAATATTCAAACATACTGACTAGAGATGAAACAGGTTTATACAACCCCTGGCAAAAAGTATGGAATCACCAGCACTCATTCAGACATTTCATTCTGTAAAACAAACTCAGATCAAAAACATGATACAATAATAAGGTCATTCCAAAATGCAACTTGTTGGCTTTCAGGAACACTCAAAGAAATGAAGAGAAAACATTGTGGAAGAAAGTGAATGTTACTTTTATTGACCAAACACAGGGACAAAATATGGAATCACTCAATTCAGAGGAAAAAAGTATGGAATCATGAAAAACAGATAAACAAAAGACAATTCAAAATTCATCACTAGGCATTTAGTTGCACCACCTTTGGCTTTTATAACAGCTTGCAGTCTCTGAGGCATGGACTTGATGAGTGACAAACAGTATTCTTCATCAATTTGGTGCCAACTCT